GCCATGGAACGAAGTGGATATTAATGTTACTATGCCAACAAGGCATAAGAATACATCATATATCATGATCCTGCTTTATACGAATAATATGCTGAGCGCCGAAGACTTAAAAAAAACGGCATCGATTGTACCGAATAATGCGATCAACGAGCTTTTTGAGAACATGTGAAACCAATACGTGGTAAGAGAGTGTGGGACATTGGACTGTTAATATGGTTCAGGGGCGTGCAAAAATATGCGTTTGTATACGTAAGGGGTTTAGCTTGTGAAAGATTGTTAATGATATTTTTTTAACTGTATCGGGAGGGGGTGATATTCTTTTATTTTACCATAGCAACAAAAGATACGCCCAAAAAATGGAGGAATACGTACGATAAATAAGTAAACTTCTTTAGTAAACACATATCAAGGGGAAGGAAGAGGCTGAGTACATTTGAATGTGGATGGACACAATCGTTTAACTCGTTGGAATTACAATCTTTAAAAAGAGGTTGTCCGATGATTTTTTGTTTGTTTCAATAGCAACATGTTTTATACCAATACGGAAAATTACAGTTTAAGGCCTTGACGCATTGTGGAACAATATACTTAAGTGGCTGTTGACGAAAAAAATCTATAATGGAGTTTGATCATTTAAAATAAATGTGTTACTAATTTATTAAACAGTTTTGTCTTTGTACTTTTCAAGGGCGAGGACATTAGGTTGGGTTACATTTTGAACAGTTTTTGCGTACTTTGGGAACATCCTTTCCGTAGCAATATTTGAAAACCACAAAACATCACAGATATAGAATTGAATATAATAGAATGGGGAATTATTCATACTAAAATTTTATGTTTTACATTTCAATGGAGAGGAAAAATTATGTGTCGGTGTGGGGTCGCATTGTAATATCATTATCTCCATGCCCAATTATGAAATAGATTTGAACGTTGGTGAAGATTTAAATTTAAATAGCTATCTCTTTAGGTGGACATCAATTAAAAGATTCCTCCTTTAAATATAGGATATCTGTGTTTTTAATATAGTTCAGGAGCGAGGCAAATGGTTCTGTACATTTTACGTAAGATACACCAATATCAAATACGTTAATATTAAATATATTAAAACTGGTAAATATATATTATATTTAATTTTAAATTGACGTACATTTTTCAGAAAATATGTTTTCTTTGTAGTTCTTTGGCGTGTAAGGAGTTGGATAAGCCTCGTGTATAGTGTATATAAAAATCATATCAAATCCAATGTAGTTAGAAACGTCAATCATGGGCGCCCGCAGGTAGGGGCAAGGTGGGGCACTTGCCTCCCCTCCCTGGATTGATTGGATAAAAAAATTTTAGACAAAAATAGACAAAAAATTTATTAAAGTAAAGAGAAAATAAAGAGAAAGTAACTAAGCTGATGTCCTGTCCGTTCGTTCAGCATACAAATACGCTACAGTAAATTAAAACTATATTAAAACATTACTAAAAAAATTTTCCCGACCACCTCACTCCAATCTACACCATAATGTGG